CGGTAGCATGGTTCGCGCCAACTTGGGCGCTGTTTTCGCTGAGCATCTGGTCTCCTTGAAGACCAAGCCGTTCACCAGTCCGGGGGAGAAGACCGAGAGTGTTGGCAGCCTTCTTACACCGATCTTTCATCATTTCCATATCGATGTCACTCCTTGCAGTCTGCGCAGTGACAGATCACTTATGGATGACCAGTATCTGCGCCATGTCACTTGGCTGAAGATTGGAGTTGTCTGGACTTTCACTACTACTTCTGGAGAATATGTTGGCATTAAGTTGCCACAGAGAGCCCTCACTACGATTCAGAGACTCCCACGCCAGCTTTTCTTCATGCCAGCTCGGACTCTGCTGCGCCCTTTGGCTCTGCGCCCTGCTAGAGCTGCTACAGGTGGTGCTTCTGCTTCTACTGCAGCTGCTGATGATGCTGGACCTTCTACACGCCAGAGTACCTCCTCTACTGCTTTCAGGCGTCCTCCACGACCACAGACACCCATGGATATGGCTGCTTTTCAGGAGTATGTCATTGACAGCTTTGAGGGACTCTGGGATGTTGTTGCTACACTTAGCAAATATGGTTGTGTCCGCCCCCATTACACCACTGAGCCTTGCGAGGATGAGGACTGAGGCTCCACTATCTGTTTACTTGTTTCTTTTTCTCTTTTATTTTTATTTCTCTTGAGTCATTTTTATGTTTTCTTTGAGTCAGTTGTCAGTTTCTTTGATGATGTTTTGTGAGATTGTTGAACCAGGTTATTATTGATATGTTTGGATGTTGTTAATTATGTGTTTGAGTGCTCAAAAATTCTAACTTTTGAGTACACATGACAACACTTCGTTAATTAACATCTAACTTAACAATTGGGTAATACAGGTCGTGATGACGCTCATCACCAGATTGGTGACGCTCGTCACTCGACCCCACGCGAGGTAACACTTTCCTGACTTGGTTTTTCGACTTCTCATTCATTTTTCTGACCAACTCTTGGCTTGATAACACTGGGGACAGTGTTGTTTAAGTCTGGGGGAGGTAGTTACTGACGTTGTGTGCTTTGTGTCATGTTTATAGAGTCTTAAAGTTGAATCAAAAACCTGTTTTATAGAGTCAAAATTTTGAAACTGTCAGTTTTTCTTGGAACTAACCATAGGACGTTTTTGCTTAAAAGAACCATTGCCACAGTAGTTGATTACAAGTCTTACTAAGTTGAAAGTCATAGGTAGATCAGTCTAGCAATGAAGGTCTAGGTCCTTAGAGAATCTGAAAAATCTTCTGTTAGCTCCACCTTAATGAACTTTAAACTTCTTGTCTTGGTGATTGACTCTTTTTGAGCTTGATTCTCTCTTTCAGCACTGACAATAAAGTCAAGATACAGTCTCTCTTTGATCTTCCCTGATGTAGTTTTTAAAAGTTTAAGTCCAAAGAATGGTGCATTCATGACCCTGTCTCCTTACAAGGAACAACAGTAGTGAACACACTCAAGAACCTGTCTCCTCACAAGGAACACAAGTATTGAGTAGCACCATTTCTTAGATTGAAAAAGTTGAGAAAAAAGAAGTGAAAAATCGAAAATATTCAAAGGAAAATATCAAGGGAAGAGAAAATAAGAGAGCTGTGTTGAGATTGAATTGTTCAGTCGTTAGGAAGGAAAAAGAATCTGTAAAGTGATTGAGATGATAGAACCTTGATGAGATATCACACTTAGATAAAAAAAATATAAGGAGTTGACAGTAGAAATTTCGGATTTCTTGAAGGGATTTGGACTGGACTTGAGAGATTTGCTAAGCTTGTGATGATTAGACTGAAATTTGATCTTGTGTTGACTCTGTGGTATGTGGATTCGAAAGTTCAAACTAATGTGGTGTTCCTGATGATTGACTGACTGTTTCTTGTTTTCATACCTCGACCCTGTACTCTGTCAGATGTTTGCTTGAGGCCAAGCAAAAGCTAAGTCTGGGGGAGTTGATATATCATGGTTTTTATGGTTTTTAGCCATGATATAAGTCCTTGTTATTGAGTCTTTTTGGTCTTTTTAGAGTCCTAGAAGAGTCTTTGCAGGTTATAGCATGTCTGGAGCATAATTGGAGATTTAGGAACCTTATGGAGCATTCTGAGTTGAAGCCACGAAGTACCAAGCTCGAAGCAGAAAGTATCCCATATGGTGACGCTCGTCACCACCCTTGGTGACGCTCGTCACCACCCTTGGTGACGCTCGTCACCCATCAAGGAAGGAGTGTGGCTGTTTTATTAAAAGTGTGAAGAAGATTTGCAGAATTGGCCCAGAAGTTCCATTATTTACAAGAAAACCCCAGATCGTGTTTAGCCTCTATTTATTAGGTTTTTCAGCCATTGCTGGCCATCATCTTAGTTTTTGAGAATTCAGACAGCTTAGAGAGAGATTTATTCAGAGCTTTTTGGGGAGACAAATCCTGTACTCTTTTGAGAAGATTTCGAACCCCTCTATTCTTTTACTCTTTCTCTTAATGCAAGATTATTCAGTTATGCTTTGTGATCTCATAATCATGTCTGAGTAATCTGCTAGTTAAGTTAGGGCTTTTTCAAGGGTTGATGAAGAGATTGTAGAATCGCAATTCTGTTAGGAACATCTTTTGGTTTTTCATCTCTGCTTGCTTTAAAATCGAATTTCTGAGAAACATCATCTAGGAATCCGAAAATCTTAGGTTGTTAAATATATGTGAGAGCATTATTCATAACCTGAACTAGTATTTGATGAGCAAAACAACTTAGTGCAAAGAGATTTGGCTTAGGAGTTTTGTAAACAATTGAATATGATCATTCCTGCATGCTTTGGTTGTTAGGGTTTGCAAAGAGATTTGAAACTCTGTGATTTAGGCATAGATAACTTTTGCAATGAGAAATGATTAGTTATACATCAGTGATTCATGTTTAAAATGGTTCTTAATCATTCCTGATTTCATGCATTCTACATTCATGGATTCAACCTGCGAACTGTCCTGACTTAGCGCTTTTAGTCGTCTGAAACTTAGATCATCTTAGAAAATCGTTTGCTTACTTTTATTCATTCATTCGCATTACATACATCATATCCTGCTAAGCTTAATCCGAACCTACATTCGATAGTGTAGTCTGCATTACTCTCTTGGGATTTCGATACCCATTGTACTACAACTGATTTGCTGTGCACTTGTAGTAGTTTTATTTGGGTAAAACCTGAGCCCTATCAGTAGAGAAAGTGGTGATTAAGATATGATTAAGGGCTGATTAGGCTTGATTTGTTTATTCTCTGTTGACTCATTCTCTTGCAAAGTGATTATTATTCATAAAGCTTATCCCGTTTGATTGAATATGGTAGTGTTAATACATATGGTTCACTTAATGGCTGGTTATGAGATTCTATGCATGATATCTCATTTCTATGCATGGTTCGCTTATTTGGTTTGATAGTCTAGCTTGATCTATGTTTCCTTTTTTCAGTGACACTAAAGTGATAGTTCACCTTGCTATATGATTCGCTTAGGGCTAGATAGTGTTGGTTATGAGATTCTTGCTTGATGGTTAGATAGTGTGCACTGAAAGATCATGCCTTTGTATGATTCTTGTTCATTGCTTAGCAATGTTAGGATTTCGCACCTGTGTGCTTAAGTCCATATTCTTAATTGGTTGATTAGCTGCATAGGTACCTATATGGTTCACAAGATTGATAGGTTGATATGAATTCTTGCTTGGGTGAGAGATGTTTACTTGTTTAGTACTTCTCTTAGGCTATAATGGTTCTCTTCTTTATGCTCATGGTTGAAGAATACACCATCAAAAGTGAGTTTGACACTTCAATTTTATTGAATATGAATTGCTTATTGACGCCAAGCTGATTCCTTTTAGATACATTTTCTAGGAGTTCAATATTGAGAATTGCTTGCTTATGAATGCTTGATGTTTCCCTTTGCTAGAAATCTCCTTTGTCACTCTTGAAAGCCATTAATCCCATTATTTCTTAGACCCTTGAGTCTTGCTTTTTATTAGTTGTCTTAAAACCGCTTTGCTTAGTTATCTTTGCTAGTTTAAACTCAGTCTTCATCTTGCTTAGTATTGCTTAAGTTGTCATTTATTTGGTTCTTGATTAGTTTCTGCTTAGTTGTTGCTTTAGATTCATCTTGCGTTTTAATTCTGCTTTCTTTTACTGCATTGCTAGGTTGTTAGAGTTACTATTTCATAATCATAATCCCCAACTTCGCTTAGCTTACAGCATTGTTTGCATCTCAATATCCACAAGTGTGTTTGACACTTAAGTTCCTATACTACAACTGATTTGGGGATTCGAAATATTTTGATTAACAAGGGCCTCAAAAACCCTTGCTTCATTAATCACCAAGAGATTGGGTTTATCTTGCTTAATTGGCGAATTCTATGCCTATGAATTAACATTACTTGCTTGTTTGCATTGTTAATGAGTGTGATAACAGCCTAATCTTGTGTTTGAATCCTCCAAACTCCATAACCACATCTAGAATCCATGCTTTTATTATCTGAATTTCGAATTTGCTTAGTGTTCTGCTTTGTTTGCTTGATCATTGTCTAATCATTGCTTCTAATAGTCTTGTTTAGTCATTGGTTCATTAGTTTTATAGTTTGGAACAATATTTCTCTGTTTTGGCTTGGATTAGTCTTTCTATTGCATTCTCAATGCATTCATGTTAGACCTACGGATTGATAAGAACCCTTGCTACAATACGTAGTATAAGCTTGGGCAGTTTAGTTAGCACAAAAAGCTTGTATCATTAGTCATATTGATTTGTCTATGTTAATTTCATAATTCTATTTTATTTCTTCCGTTACCTTATTGTTCTCTTTCTCGGTTTCGGCCTCTGCTTTGCCATTTGTAATTTGTTATTGTGCCGCCTGCTACAGCTCCGCCTCGCACTATATATTGCACCATTTTCTATGTTTTTCTATGATTGTTGATAGTTCCAAACTGGTTAAGCTCGTCTCCAATAATAAATCTCCATGTCACTTGCTAGTTTTGAAGCTTCTTTGACCACCCGCTATGATGAGAGCTTTGAGAAGCTTAAGGCTCATATCAAGAAGCAACCTCCTGCTGCTTCTACTGATCCAAGTCCTTCTACCTGTAAACTGGTTGCTCGTTCTTCACAACCAAAAAAGAAACCGGTTAAGCTTGAACCAGTGGTTAAAGTGAACAGCAATCGTTGTTTTACCCGCAATCTTACTAGAACGACCAAAAACATTGGAATCTTCTGTTAGCGTACAAAGTCGAAAAAGCAAACCCCCAAAATCTCGATATGTTCTCTTTTTTGTCGACAGTGTTATTGTTAAATTAGTTTAGTTTTTACAATTATTTTTCGTTTCAGTAGAAACGACCTCTTCGCGAAGCTTCTCATTCTGTTTCCGTCGAGTCCTTATCTTTTGACCATTCAAAAGTTAGTTTGTATACAGTGATTTGCTTTTATTTATGATAAAATTTATTTGCCTTCTTCTTTACTCTACCATTTTTTCAACATATAGGATTCTGAGCGCCAGGCGTATGAAAGTCGTTCCCGAGGCGTATCATAAATAGTGCTGTTTCCCAAAAAGATGATGTCCAACCTTCTCCTACAAATGTGCAAACACTATAGGTAAATTTCTGTTTATTTCTATATAATTGATAAGTTAATTTCATTAAGCTTGGTATTTTCTCAGAAGTTACAGACATCAGAAGATGTATTGACATCAGAAGATGTATTGGCCTCTATCGATGATCTTATAAGAAAGTTAAAAGAAAAGGTTTTTTTTGCTGTGAGTTATTATGTTCTTAATATTTAATTTTCTTATTACAAGGCTAGCACTGTGGAGAATAATGGTTAGAGTGTTTCGATTGGTTCCCTAGGGAACACTGAGGTCCATGAGGAGGTTTCGCCTGTTGGTTCCATAGTCGTGTTTCCTGCAGTAAATAGCTTTTCATATTTCCAGTACTATATATAGTTCTATGATAATATTTTAAAATTGTTATAATTGAGTCTCTTACTCACCCCACCCATACTCTTCTTTCCCAGATAGATTTGCATTCTGAGGTTACTTGTCCTATTTCTTTTTTGTTTCTGTTCTAATTTTTCATTTCTATTCATTGACATCCTGCCTTTATTCCTCTCCTGAAGGACAAAACGGATGACCATACCACTTCTGCATCATTGGCATCAGAAACTAATGAGAACAATGTTGAAACTATGGTATATTATTTATTTAATCTCGTTATTTATTACTGCTATACCGTCATAAAAGTATCATTTACATTTTATACTTTATCATTTATGTTCTTTCATATTAAGAAACAAACCGATATTGATGCACATTGTCTTGAGTCTTGCGATACCCTTGATACAGTGGACCCTAACGTCTCTACGGTTTAATCATTACTGTATATAATTTCTCCTGATTTGATTGCGTTGTCTCTCGATATTTAATATTGCCCCATATATATATGCCGCAGGAGAAGAACATCCAGGAAACAATTCATATAAATGCTGGGCAGAAATCGGATGAGGACCATATTCAAACCTCGGTGAACTACTAATTCTTTTCTATGTTCATCTTTTATATAGTTGGACTACAAGTTTTTGATTTTTATTCATTTCTCTTCCTATATTCCACCACATTTCCAGAAGGAAAGCGAGTCAGGGAAAAGCAATGCGCAGCTCTTATCTCCAATAGTATCTACTCCGTCGCCCTCATCTCCCATCGTATGTTTCCTACTCATGCACTCGATGAACAAATGTATATTTTCAAATGTATCATATGCATTTATGACTCCCACCATAATTTTTTCCCCTCTTTTCAGTTCGATGAAACGGATAAGCTCCTGGATGTTCTCAAAGACTCCATTGTAATTCCAAACACTTCTGCTCCTTAGTTTTCGTAAACAATTATATATATAAAGTTATCCATTCAGTGAAAACTACATTAACTTTTTCATGTAAACGCTTGGAAGTTAATTTCATTTTCTATTATGTTTCAATCCTACAGATTCTTGAATTAGGATTTGATTTTCAATGCCTTTCGCTTACGCAACACATGTATTCCCACGCAAATGATTTCCTCCCGTTTTCTACTATATGTTTTTCGCAGCCGTCTTTTGACCTTGGTCTTTCCCAACCTCTGAGGAACAACAACTCGATGAAGGAAACATGTCTAAAATTAATGTCGACGTTAATGTGGGACAAGAATCGGATAATAGTTCTCAATGCACTCCATCTATGCCTGCTCTTATGATGGGTACCCAAATTCGGGAAATTAATAAATTTCAACCATTTAAAGCTCTTCAAATGTCTTAAATCTGGAGTTTATTCCTTATTTTCCAGGAACCTAAGTAAACCCCCTTTAATTTGAATCATTACTTATTTAATTATATCTATATAACTATGTTTAGTTTAATCAAGTTGTTGTTTTCTACAATGTCCAGGTTAATTAGCATTGATAATGGTTTGGTTCTTAACCATACTAATTTTTTAAAAGCTCGTCATGGCGAAGTGGACATTGGCGCTATGGTTAGACTACCTTCCATATCTTTTTGTCAATTGAATATAGTTTGTGATTGCTTATATTGATACTAATAGTTTAATAGGTCCATTTTATTATTGATATTAATATTTATCTGTAACAATTAATGTAACTCACTTCGTTGTATGTGTATTCGTGGTTGTAAATAGGAAATGGCATACCTTTGCACATATGACTGAAAACGCCGTGAATGTCAATCCTCGCCTACATCTGCTTTCCTGGACAATATTTTCCCTACTTCCATCTCGAGCATTAGTAGCACCTTTCAATCATCAAATCTGAAGGATTCTTTTTGTTTTCCACATTCATTGATTTTGTATTTCCCCAACAAAAATACAACTGGACAAGGTAGGAAATGGTTTCAGGATATTACCTCTGTGTTTCCTAATGTTTGCCTATGGACATCATTGGGTTGTTGTGCTCCACGATCTGCACCTTCGTCAAATAGTTGTATACGAGAGTATGGAATACCGTCACTGCCCATTATCATTCCAAACGGAATTCCAGTCTCTTACCATAGTGCTTCCTTACCTGATTAGACAAGCAGCCGCTAACAACCTTATGGAAACCATCAAACTTACTCTGTTTGTGCTTGTTTGTGAAGGCCGCTGATGCTGACATCCTCTCACTTCTGTTTATAGAACTTCACGCAGATAACCGTATACACAACACTGCAACCATCACCGATTCACAAATACAGCAAGCACGAGTTAACTACATCTTATCTACTTATGAGATATACGCCTATTAATTAGTCGGTACTTGTTTAATTCTCGTTTTTGAATTACAGCGACATCTATTTTATCATCGTTTTAAACTTGAACTAGTATACTCTTTGCTTATCCATTGTTTAAGATTTTATTCATGTTACTTTTCTTGTTTTAATGTTCATACATGTTTTACTAATGCGCTTTTGTTGTTGATTCCGTTCACCAATCATTAGGTTTTGGCATAATGATTATGGTTTACTGATTTTGGGTTTAGGGTTTAGTGTTTATAGTTTAGGGTTTATCGTTTAGAGTATAGAGTATTACTATTATTTGTTTGGGTTCACCAATCCCAAACTTTGGATTTAGTGTTTATGGTTTAGAGTTTATATTTATACTAGGTAAACATGTCTATATATCACTTTTTATCTATTAATTATATGCATGTATATATTAATAGGTAAATCAAGAACATAACTATTAGAGGAGAAATGAGCACATTTCCTAAAAAAGCATTTCCCGCAATAACCTAAGCCCATCAAGACCAGGAAGACCGCGCCGACTTAGCTCGGAATAAAAGAAAACTCTTAAAAGACAATTATGGAAGACCGGGAACATCGGATTGACCAAAGGATAAGGAGAATTCTCATATTCTTCGGAGAATAAGAGATATTTCCATATCGTAGATACGGAAATATTCACGAAGGACTAAAGGCAAAGGAGTTCGGAGCAACCGACCTCCTATCCCTATAAATACAGAGACCCCGAAGCCTAGAAGGACAACTCATACAATCTAGAGAGCAGCAGAGCTAAAAACAGAGACTCCAACGCTTTCTAGTTTACTTCGCAAACCTTCTTTTCACTTTGGCATAACATCTCGGTTATACCTTTCTTTGTAATTGCTACGCTTTCTTACTATTAATAAAAGATCTTATTCTCTGAAGCCCACAACTGTTAATCAAACCCTAGTGGTGATTTTCTGGTTCAATAATTGACGCCGTCTGTGGGGACTAGGAGAATAAATTCTTAAAAAAAATCAGTAAGAAAGCCGAAGCGATGAGCCTCCCCGTCGACAACAGCGACCTCATCAGCAACGACGACAACACCACTCACATCGAGACACCCGCACTCGGCGAACGTACAAACATCACTACCGCGAATCCACCCGCGGGAGCACTCCCAGCTCCCATTCAGGCCGCCGACCTCGCAGCAGCTATCCAAGCCGCCATGCAGCCACTCACGCAGGATTTGGTGTCCAAACTAGACATCCTCCAGGCTCAGCAAGCCAAATACGACGAGCAACTCAGTGCCTTCGCAGCCGCAACAACCGCGAGATCAGAGCCGATCGGACGACGTTTGATCTTCGAAACACCAGAGCAAAACAACCGAAGTGTAGCAGCCGACGGCGAGGAGTCCTCTGGCGAACTAAATTCTGAGATCGCAAGACTTCATCAGCAGATCAAAGCGATCGGATCCCAAGTCCATCGAGCCACCAGTTCAGCGCCCGAGATCTCTGCCATCCTCTCGGATGCATAACGCAATCCATTCGCCTCACGGATCACCGACGTCCGACTCGGCGAGGCAATAAAACTGAAACTTCCATACTACAACGGGATGGAGGATCCCAACCTATGGCTAACCGGATTCAACGTCGCGATGAAGAGGCAACGATTCGAGACCGACCTCGAACGAGAAGCCAACCACTGCCAAACCTTTGTCGAACACCTCAACAAAGACGCTTTGAAGTGATTCTCTAATCTGCCCCGGCCACGATCAAATCCTTCAAGGATCTGACTCACGCCTTCATCAAACACTATTCCATGTTCATCACAAAGAGAACGGTCAACCTGTTTACTCTGGTGCAAGAGCGCGACCAACCACTTCGCGACTTCATCGACAAATTCAAGAACGCCACTGCGGCATATAGACAAATCCCTCAAGCTTTAGCCATCGAGGCACTCATGAACGGTCTGTGGTATGAATCTTCTTTCAAAGAAGATCTGCAGAAACATCCGAAAGAAACCATAAAGGACGCACTTCATCGGACCCAGACCTTCATACGGATGGAGGAGGAGAAAACGTTCTATGCCAAAAAACATGGCTTGGACACGGCAAGCATTTCAAAAGACAAAGAACCCGCGAGCAAAAGCAAGCCCTCCTCTCACGCTGTCGTAGCAACCACAGAAAAGCCCTGGTATCAGTGGGCTTTAGGAGATCCCCTAAGGAGCACAAGCGATAGGGACGATAATCACGACCTTTACTGCTCTTTTCATGGATGAACAGGACACGGTACCTCGGCCTGTCGACACCTCCACAGCATGCTGTATGAACAATAAAAAGAAGGCAAAATCAACATCGGAAGTGATCGATCCCGGAGTAAAAGCTCACGCCTGTCCGAGGTGGTGAACGAACGTCCACACGAGGCGATAATGGAGCATCGACTGAAGGGGAAACAACCTCGCGACGGCTCCGGAAGCATCTGAAGCACCCTCTCTATCCGCAACTTGAGAGGCGGGAGTATAGGACGCCTCACCCTGCGAACCCCTTGCGGCTTTCTCAGCCCGCATCCGTCTCAATCTCTCCAGTGTCGCCGCCCTGAAGAAACTTTAAAAATAAAAAATGAGGGGGGGCGGGGGGTAATACAAAAGCAATGTAGCGTCAGAAATCTCTTCGACATAATATAATAACGCGCGAAGCCAAAAAAAATTTACCTCGCCAGAGTCTCGAACTCAGCAGCCACTTCGGCGTCATCTGAATCCACCAAGCTGGGTGGATCTTGGGAACTCTTCTTCCTCTTTGCAGAAGTACTCACGCAGTTCAAACCCCAGGGACTCGCGTCAGTCCACTTCCACCCGGGATCGCAGGGATCCGGGAAAAAGCAGCAGTCGAGGCAGTTCTGGAGGAAGGTACCGAAGTCGCACACCCGAAAGAAGACACGAAGAAAAGGAGAAGGAGAAAGGAGCAGAGCATCAGAACGACGAAAGAGAACACGAAAACCCGCCTCCACCACCGAAGCGACGGGTCAATATGATCATGGGAGGACTTCCCGACTGCGATGACTCAGTCCGTGCCATCAAAGAGTATGGACAAAAAACAGTCGCATCACGAAAATACCCCCGCCCCGTGGTCTATCACCCTACGATCACCTTCACATCAGAAGACATGCACGGGTTACACACCCCACATAACGACCCGCTGGTAGTTGAACTACATATCCACGACAGCGAGGTGACCAAAATCTTGGTGGACACCGGCAGCACGGTCAACATCATCTTTAAAGATACGTTAACTAAGATGGGATTCCAGGACAAAGACATCAAGGCAGCGCCGAAGCCTTTAACTGGCTTTGCCAGCAAATCTTTCTTCAGCCTCGGCACCATACGACTCGCGGTCTATGCCGGCGGTGTGACAAAAATTGTTAAATTTACAGTGATGGACAAACCAGCAATCTACAACGCCATACTTGGCACACCGTGGATCCATGAGATGAAAGCAATTGTGTGGACTTATCATCAATGCATGAAATTCGTCACTTCGGCCGGAGTCTTCACGCTTCGCGGGGATCAACAGATGGCAATGTCTTGCTTCATCAGCGAACGAAAAGTGCGACTATCCACGGCAAAGCACTTGAAGACGCTAAATAGACAACAAAGACTTAACGATAAGTCTCAGCTTTGTGGTTTTCTTTTTATTTTTTCAATAAAACCGGGCTTAGCCCCTGAGTGATAACACTCATTCAATACTTGTAATGAACTACGAACGGCTTGATCCCAATTCGGGTACGTAGGCAACTTTTGGATGCAGCTGTAAATCTAATAAATTTATATTTCAGAAAATCAGCTCGGCGTATAAAGCCAAGTTTTCTTATGCGAATGCACCTTGCTGAGTTAATGTTTTGGCCAAACATTCAACTCGAAAAAGCAAGCACAAAACAAAAAACAAAAAATAAATAAGTGGCTGATCACCACTCCTTTGATGCTTCGGTTCGATGTAAATACTTCTGAAGCGGATAAGAAGAAAATCGAAGACAATACTCGCACGACCCTCGATCATACCTTTCAGGCCAAAGTGAATCCTGAAAAATTGGTATTCGATCTTGATCATCGTTTGTTGTAAGACGGGCAAAGGAATCCTGCTTCCAGCTTTGAACTAAAAAGTTCCGTCGCAAATAAAAATAACGAAGAACGATTACAAAGAACCTTTCCATGAAGGGAATAACGAGCCATTTCAGGCAAAAATTCTTACAAAAAAATAAATATAACCAAAAAAAAAAATCCTGCTGAACTTATAGCCCGTCAATATCTGATCTACTCAGAAGATTGAGGTCGGCGCTTGTAACGACTATCTTGTCAATGGCATCGCTGGCTGCCTTCCACTTGGCGAACTCCCTCTCAAAAGACGGAAGGGTCCCGGCAGGAGGCTCCCACCCTTTCTCTTGCATCTTTTTTAAGAAAGCCATCATATGGCTGCTTTTTTCCACACCGACAAGGGCTGCTTCCAGTTCTTCGCGCTGAACCAGCGAGGCTTGAATCCGATCTAAACGCGGTTTAAACCAAGCAGACATGCCATCAAAAACTTTGTTGGCAGCATCTCGAGCAGCTTCCTCGCAAGCCTTTTGCAGCTTCTCCTTATCGGCGAGAAATCCTTGCAAACTCTCTTCGTTCCGCTTTTCGAGAAGCTCATTTTGAGCCTGGAGAGTGGCAAATTTCTTGCGAAGACGATTAGCTTCAGACACCTCGCCCTTGAAAGTATCAACAGCGCCTTCCAGCTGAGCGCACTGCTCCTTAAGAAGCTGTTTTTGTTCCTCCGCTTTTTTAAGCTCCTCGATCTTGGAAGACGCAGCCAGTCAATATTGTTCTAATTTAACAGCCTACCTGCTTTCGAGGGTTTGGCCTTCTTCTCGGCAGGCTTAACCGCTTTCTGACTAGCAGCCCTTTTCTTCTCCTTTTCGGCCCATAACTGCCGACTCAGGTCGCGCAGCCTCTTGACGTCTTCATCAAACCCGATTGGATCCTCTCCAAGACGTATTTCCACTACAATG